GCTGAATTCCGGGACCAAATCCTGCAAAACTGTCCTGGAACACGTCCGGAAGCTGGCCACGACAGGCCCCGACCCATTTTCCGGCATGAATCCGCCCCGAAACCCGCCCTGGAAGCTGCCCCCCCTGCCCCGGAACCCGCCCCGAAGAGCCCGAGCATATTGCTGCGGCGCGCCTTCGCCTTTAGGCGTTATTCTTATACTGATCAGGATCAAACTTGTACTTGTCTCCTCGGGTCATAGCAAAATTTTGACTTTTATAAGTTCGCCTCGGCTTCCTGCCGAGAAGCGTCTGGAACAAGCAGACCCGGATCGCCCAACCCTTCCCCCACGGCGTGCAAATGCCTATGCAACAACTCTTGCCACGGAACCGCTCATCTCCGTGCTTGTCCTGATATGGCATTGCCAACGTATCCTTGAGAGGGGCAGCGGTGCTCAGAACCTCAGTAATTCTCGGACAAGAGACGCTTCCAACCCTCGTTGTTGCCCATGCCGAGCAACCGGGATAGTTACCTGCTTGTCCTCCGGGTGCAGCTCGAACTCCTTTCAACAGGCAGTGCTAGAAGCAAAGTACTGTCGGATGTCGGCGAAACACGTCCGGTTCTCCTCCGAGATGCCCCCTCGGGCTATTGTGCACTCAGGGGTATAAATCGAATCACCTGAGGCAGCATTCGCGTCTGTACACGATGATTCCCGGTCATAAACGTGAAAGTCTGCCTTGCTTTGTGTTCATTTTGTAGTACTAGAGAGTCAAAAATGGACGAAGTGAACGGCCCGAGCCATCAAGAAACTGCAGACCAGGAGACAGACAGACTGCTAGAGAGATAACCGTCGGAACCTACATTTTGGATGACATCTGATTTCACTCGATTCTTCATGTCTGCCGTGCCGTTAAAGTTCGATAACATCGGCAAATCGGAAGCGTGAACAAACGCATCGGAGCATTAGACGAGTGAACAAGCAGTGATTTCGTGTGACTTCTACAAACTTACAGACCAAGAAACAAACAAAGACAAAAGCAAGGACACTAATCCAGACACGTCCTCGGGATCCAGAAAATAGTATTCTCAGTACGTGGCCTTCTCGCGCTTGCACTTTTGGTTGCATCTTGCTTTGCTGGTTGTGATGGGGAAACAAAATGCACACTTTCCGATTGCGGGCACCCTTACGACACATGATTTCTCCGTGCACAAAAAGCGTCTCTAATTCGAAAGCCTAATTCCAAAGCCTGAAGAAGCAAGCACACAATCCGGGCACTACACCTACAGATCCAACAAAAAAAGCCTGCCCGCAATCTAGATCTCCCTACGACACAGCACGCAAAGGCACTTATTCCCAATTCTCAAAAATGCATCAGAATCTAAAGTTCAGACCCCTGCAAAGCCAACAATTGCAGGATGAGGCTCTCCAAGCGCCTTTGTCACGATCAGTACAGGCTTTCGGTCCGAATGGGCTCAACTGCTGAGGTTTTGGGTGAAGAAGGGATGGCAGCAGGTTCGGAGCTTGGCAGTACAGTTCGGTCTCCTCAGTCCAGCACACACGTGTCCACGCAAAGCTGACAATAGCCTCCGCGCCACTGATGCTGAAGATGTCCCGTGCCCCCTGAGCCTCCCACCATGTTCAGTCGATGCGTTGCAGGCGGAAATTCTCCCGACGTACAGTTGGCTATGCAGACCCTTCGGGTCCGGTCCTAAATGCAGCTCCGTGTCTCGCGTCTCGTGTTGGCAATAACGCCATTTTAGTTGGCCACTCGCAGGGCGTCCTGCTGCATGAACAGCAAAGCTGCCGAGGCCAGGCTGGTCTCCGAGAAAGTCACCTCCAGGCTACTCATCTACAATGACTTCTCATGCACATCAAGGACAAGCAGTGCCATGTGTCACATGCCACAATTCATGGATGCGGTCCCTGCATGGACTACCTAGCAGGTTCCAAGGCCTTTGGAGGGCGGTCGAAGGACCGCACCTTCTTCTCTAGCAGTGCCTGGTGGACTTCCTGATGGCACTGACACCAATCATCCCTAGTTGAATTACTTCCAACGCCCCACAAAACTGTAAAACTCATGCGCGCGCTTTCGGCCAGCTCTAGCTGCGCTAACTTCCAAAGAGACGCAAGTAGAGATGAGAGAGCAGACGCACGTATCCTCGCAAACAGCATGAAGGCATGGGATAGCCACACACACACACATGCCAAGATCGTGATGTTGACTAAACTCACAAACCGCACAGGCTGCACCCGCAAATCTGCGATCACACAACCCAAACTGCTGCCACGCAGAGTAGGGATGCCAAAACGTCTGAGCACAAACTCGCGTGAGAGGAAGGAACTCGAAGCAGAACAAAACATAAGGAACTCGAAGCAGAACAAAACATAAGCCAGAGAAAGCCGTCCTGAAAGCGAAACCTTGCAGCAACATTATTCCTCCTCTGCAACGAGAGAACGAGAGACAAGATCGGCACAGCATCAAAGAAATGATGCAGCTACCCTGCACCAGCAGAAACGAAGCGCTACGCAGCGGCATCGCACATCTCTGGGCCATAAGTCACCCGATGCGAGCACGAGCGACGGACGCAGCGGCCAGCTGAAGAAGTGCGGAAAGAAGGTTCGGAGGGCTCATGTACAAGCGCTCGGCCACAGTCATGTGACTTTTTCAAACTGTTCTGGCCGAGATTACTCTCTACCATACCAAGGATGCAAGGTGATTTTAAGCTGACCATCTGCTGACCCAGATTCGCTGTAGTGAACCTCAGTGCAAACTCCGATCGAATCATATCCTGAATCCTGAAGCGGTGATGCGGAGTGAGCAAAACCTACGGCCGGGTAGCTTTGCGTGAGACTGGGACAGCGATGTGGTCGCTCTTTGTTACGAGCTGCTGGTTCGCCCGCCAAATATCCTTCAGAGAGGCTTCACTTCAAGCAGGCACAAGAAATCGGAGCAGCGCTTTGCTCTGAATCCTCCACGAGCTCCGCTATCATCTTGGACTTGTGGGTTGCCTACCATGGCACTGCGATGGACTGCCTCCAACCACTTTCACGTCCAACCCTAAACCCGAAACCCTAAACCCTGAACCCTAAACCCTAAACCCTGAACCTAAACCCTAAACCCTAAACCCCAGTTGCTGCCAGGGTGCGTTCGTCTCAGCTTTGATGTGCTGTATCGGGCGCTTGAACATCTGAAAATCTAGGTGCAAGGGCGAGGCTCTGAAACCGGCCACCAGGAAAAAGGCACAAACAAGTGACGCAATTGTCCCAGGCACGTCGAATTGATGATTTTCCATCCTGAGGGGCGTTTCAGCTTGTTGGTTCAGGTCGCATCGTGCTCTTCGGGCGTACTTGCCGCAGAATTGTTGGTCTTTCTCAACAGCTCCACTGAGAACAGTGAGCTGCATGCGCCACCAATCCCATGCTTTTGCAGTGTCACAGAAATGGTCCAGTGTGGTCCAGTGAGGCTGAGGGTCGTTGCCAGAACTGGCTCGGTGCACATCCTGATCGTCCTCGAAAACTGTTTGGCCCGTGAAACGAGTTTCAAGGCTTGGCTTGGGGGGAGGAGTCACGAGCGATACCGACGTTGCCACGATTTTATTCCCACAAGCCGCATTGAATTTTAGTCCGTCCTGTTCCTCATCCGGATCCGGGTCCATCTGTGGGAGTGGCTTGTACCAGGTCCTTTCGTGAGGCTTCGATACCTTGTAGTAGAAGTATCGGTTGACCTGGCAATATGCCAGGTTGATCTACGAATCCAGCCGCGCAGACTGGCCTGCGGCCGCCGATCAAGCACAGCTCGCCAGCCAGGAGGCAAGTCCGTCGGCATCGGGGGAGGTTTCACAGACTCGTCCTCCACAAGCCGATGCCAATGCGAATGCGGAATCTACCCTAACCCTAAAATCGCTAACAGGCAACAGACACTTCACCCATCTCCACTAAATTTAGCTCCCCAGGGCCCAAACCTTCCACACACCACAACTCAAGAGCACAGGCATTTTGCACATTTGCCCCTGTTCCCTCACGGTTCTGGTGGCATCCTTCGCTAATTTCAATACAGTTCATGTCGAAAACTGGTGCAGCAACTCAGAGGTCCTGCTGTGGCGGCTGGGAAGGCAGCTCGAGAACACAACCATACGGCTTGCTCCAGCTTGATTTGCCAGACACCTCACGCAGGCGTGTGACACCGCTAACAGCACGCCGTCCCAAGGCCCCGCTTCACTACATGTCCTAGCAGAGCTCAATCCATGCCTTGTCCATGTAATAGTAGCGTTGTCTTTCTGGGCTCCATTCATATTCCCATTCAGCAGCCGACATGAGTGCCTGCAGTATGCGAAGTCAGAATTGCAGACCGATGCTAGCTGAAGACGTACTAAGGATTGCACGAGCAGCCACGCAGTGTAGGTGCGTTGCACTCTTGAGCAGCAAGCTACAGGTACCAAGCTCATGAAAGACTTGAGAAGCAACCTACGGGCCGCTACCCAAACGACTGAGAATCTACGTGAAGAACGCCCTCAGCACGGAGCACTGCCGGGCTGCGTCCTGCAAATCTGCACCAAACCAAACCCGTACGGTGAACTGGGGACAAGAAAGGCAGCGAGCCATAGATGGCCTTCTCCACGCCACTGGAAATACAGCCGGTTCGACACAACCACCTAAGCCCCAAGCACGCCGCCTCTATTTACCACGCCCTGCTAGATGAGGACTTCTGGGGAAAGGAAAAAGGGCCCCCGGCACTCGAAACTTCATGGTACTGTTGCAGCTCTCGTGCCACAGGACCCTCGAGTCCTGCGATGCGGCCAAACACAGCCAAACGCTTGGCACAGCTTCACACCCACAGCTCGCCCGAAGATTGCCTTGATTGGTCACTGCGATGACAACTTGCGCCTCATTGCCAGCAACATCAAGTCTTGCCAAGCGTTTTTCTTTCTTTCGTCCGTCATGCGCCGACGTTCAAATCTGGGCAACACACCCCTTCTTTGAGCCAACTTGCCACTTCGGCCAAGCTCTCTCTTCCCTTGCATGCAAGACTGTGGATTGTTGCGTGCTTAGCATTGGCGAAGCGTCAGCAAGCAACACAGGGAGCCTTGACGTCAATGGAAACTTTCGCGGGCTGCCCGGCCTGTCTGGGCCTGAACACCCATTCTCAAGTCTAAGTTCTGGAAAGCCCTCAGTTCCTTCCCAGAGCGAATCTTAGCCGGCAACTTCCGCCCCATGGCTCCCAGCATCGTTGCCTTGATCAATATATTCCGGCTGCAACAAGGTCCAAGCTTCTGCAGGTCTCGCGAATTCTAAGCAGACCGCGAGGGTGCACAGACTGAAGCCGGCCACCTGCTTCTGCACCTTGTGACCACACAAGGGCGAGGCCGCCGAGGCCTGACAAATGCCGTCACCACCAATAAGCAGCAAAGATGTCGTGACCCGCATGAGCCGTGCTTCGGAACGAGCATGTCGACAGGGAGGTCGCTGAAGGCGAAGATACGGCACGATCATGGCGCTGGCACGCGTGCCGCCATTTGAGCCGGCAAGCACGGTCTTGTCACGTTGTGCTCCTCTTTTTGGTCTGCAATTTGCGGTGCGTCCTAGCTTTGCACTGCAGCACTTGCCAATGGCATTTTTTCCGTCGAGCTGTCGCAGTGATTGCTGGACAGGCTCAATTGGTCTTTGGGTCTGCTGCCTGATCCAAGTTCTCTTTGCGAAGATATCCCAAGGCACAGCATCACACACACACACACACACACACACACACACACACACACACACACACACACACACACACACACACACACACACACACACACACACACACACACACACACACACACACACACACACACACCTACCTCAACTTTCAACACAAGCAATCGAGGCCGCGGGCTGAGGCATGCCGGGAGCATAAAGCAGGCACCCCACCTCTAATGATGCCCTGCCCATGGCACTTGTGCAAGTGGCATATGGGGCCGACCATGGGGACGGACACCAACCCTCCCGCTCTAACCCCTCCCAGCTTTGCAACGCTTCTTTTCCCTTCCCCTACCCACCTTCCTCACCCCCCAATCCAGTCTCTGCCCCGCTTTCTTGACCATGCACGGCAGCCTCCTCCGTGCTCTTTCGTCCTCCTCCACCGGGCCAGCTGCGGCGGCCTTGCCTCGCCGCTGCCACGGCCACGGGCCCCCGCCGAGGCGGGTCGCGTAGCGTTTGAATTACACGGCCTTCTTTGTCGGCGTCTGCAGTGACCTTTCCAACGGAGTCACCGTGGAGCATCGCACCTGGCTGCAAAACAAACATAAGCCTTCCAGCAGCGGCTGAGCCACATCCGGAAATCAGCTGAGACTGTGACATAGTTCAGCGCAGCACCAACGTTCACCAGGGCCACGGACAGCAAAACTACGTCCCAGCCTCGTTCACTTGTCGCAGGAGCCCCTGTGTTGCCCTTGTGGGCTCGCGAAATGTCTGAGCGCTTGACTTTGGAAGCGATGTAACAAGAAAGCCACCAACTGCGGTCCGACCTTCGCCAATCTGGGACTCTGCCACCGATATGTACAAATGCTGCCAAGGGAAATCTGAAGGTCAAGGGATGAGGTCGGATCCCACGAGCCAACAGTTCCCAGTGTGTTTCCATATCCACTGATGACCTGGTTTCAAAAAGAAACACGGAATGCCGCTTCTAGCCTTCTGCAAGAGGACTTGGAATCCAACCCCAACGTACTTCTCAGTTATGTCCAGATAGTTTGCCTGACACAGGCAGATGGCGAAGCAGGTCGTCTGCGGACCTAGAACCAAGCCTTGAACCCACATGGAGCTAGGCCGAAGCAGGCGTTTGCCATGCTGCAAAGTATCGTGGAGATCCACCTTACACCCGACGCGAAAGGCAGTTGTCTGCAGATGCGGGCTGTCTGCAGATCTGGGCATCCTGCGGGTCATGATTCCGCAGGCGATAGACCTTCAGAAGCCGCGTGTCGGCTCTGACAGGGTCTTGTCTCTGTGCTTAGCTGCTTGGGGCTTGCACTGGCAGCAAGCAAGCAGCCGCCAGAACAAAACCAGACACGGTGAAGAGGCGTCGCATTGACAGCAGGCTGACACCATTCCTTCCAGGCGCATGAAACTCTGTCACCGGACACGTCTGCCCTGAACTTGCACTGTCGGACACGCATTCCCCATAAACAAGCGATGTCCTTTCCACTACTCTAACCAGCAGCGGATTCCTGGCGAGGTCAAGAAGAGACCCCCAGACTCGGAATGAGCAGAGCTCATCTTGAAGCTGGGGCACACAGATTTGCAAATCAGGTTTGTGACGTGGGGCAGCATGAGGTGGTACTTGGCCTGTGGCACACGCACGCACACACACACACACACACACACACACACACCAACAACTGCAAAACCCCTCAAAAAAAGGCCACAAGCGAACACAAGCGCTGCTTACAAGCGACTTGCTTTCAACACACTCCTGTCGCGCTGTTCGAGCCTGCGCCGGCGTCAAGTTCAGGACTTCGCTGTAGTAGGTGGGACCTTCTCTACCAAAAAAACGGAAGCTCTCAAAAAGCCAGCTCGGCTCGAGTCTCGAGGGGCAGATGGAAGAACTCAGCAACTTCGCAGAGATGAGGGTGCGGCTCCAGTTGGTCAGGTAGTACCTGTTGCTCCCACAAGGTACGACAACATAGCGAGGTTTAATAAGGACCCGAATCGAGCCGGGCCGGGCAAACATCGTTTCTGCATTTTCAAACCACAGACAGATGCATTCCTAAATCTTTGGGGACATGAGGGCACGCACCATAGTTGAACGCAATGTGCGCCTCGGCCAGACACACAGTAGAATGTGCAAACGTGCAGATATGTTGGGTTCACTCCAAGGCTTCGGCAAAAAACACAGCCCAAAGGCCCTGGTGCAATGCCAAAGCCAGAGGCATGCCCAAAAGGCCAGATCCTGAGCAGCAGATGCCTCGAAGACTGGGGCAACTGTAATCCTGCACATGACATGAGAAGATGTGGCCAGCGCCGTCTTGATCCTGCTGCTGATCTTAGCCGAAGTGACTCGAAAAGTCGAAAGCGCCAGAGGGCCCCAAATTTGCACTCAGGGTTTGGCCTTTAGACTTCGGCTTCTGCTTTGGCACATTTGCCTGACATGGTCGCGATCACTCATCGCACTGTGGTTGAAGAAAGCAAAATGGACCTCCAGAAAAGCTAGCTCCGTCTTGGAGATGTAGAAACACCTGCAGGCAGCAAACGTCATTAAGAAGTTATTCATGCTACAGGGGCATAGTTCATAGTTTAATATATTTGGGGCAGGTGGTCTTCTTTGCTTGCACGGCGAACTCAAGGCGAGCACCTGAGGCAGTCTTCATTTTCACTCTCACAAGTGCATCGCACCAGAGGTCTCCTCCCACACCCAGCGCCACTCGCGGGCACCAAGGCTGGGAGTCTTCGGACTCCACCATCCCTTTCAGCCGGGTTAGGTCCTCTGCCTGCAAGCCTGCTGGGGCGACTTCTGCTAACAGGAATGTGGCACTCCAGGGCTGGCTGTCGGGTGATTCCAGAGCCTGCACATACATCCACAGCAAGTCTGCGTCTACCTTGGCCATCTGCTGCAGCAAACTCCATGAAAGGGAACGCAAGCGGCCAGCAACAAGGGGATTTGCAAATTTGATGCCCAAAGCGATGAGCTGCTCGGAAATGCCTCTTACTAAAGATGAATCGCCCGCAAGGAAGACAATAGCATCGAGAGCGGCCCACTGCATCTTCATTGCAGAAGACCAGGTGCATGAACCCTGCACCACATCCGTCGCCTTGAGCCGCTGCCAAATCCCTGGCCAGCAATCACTGAAAAAACGCCGCTTGATGAAGTCACCAGAGAGACGCGCCATGTGCTTCAGAAGAACACAGCTGTCTGCCAGTGCTGCCATCGCAGCCCCATCAGAAAAAGAGGGCGTCATGTGTTGCCAAACACTGTGGACGTGGGGCAGCAAATCCTTCACTCGCGTGGACAGCACTGTCAAACCATGTATGACTGCAACATGAGCCAAGTGACGAGGCCCGGCATCTGGAAACTGCAAAAAATTCCTTGCCCACATGACGACGCTGGAAGCCACACGACGCTCTTGATCGTATCTGCCGCCGCCCGTGCTGGCATTGCCAGATCCTTCAAAACCCTTTGCAGCCGTTGAAGCTCGCGAAGACTCCTCCATCTCCGATTCACCTGTCTCTTCTGAATCTTCATCCAGGCACAGGCCAAGGTCATGCAGGAAAAACCCATCGCGGCGTCGCGGTGGCTTCCATCCCATCAGCTTACCTGAGAAGAAAGCCGAGACTGCCATGGCAGATGAGGGCACCTGAGAACCATCGTTCAATGAAACCTGCAGAGGCACAGCATCGTCGAGCTGCAATCCCGATCCTTTGGACTCCAGTCGCCTCTCACAAATTATACAGGCCAGCCGTTGAACTGTGCAGGCCAGGATGCGAAGGACCCAAACAGACTTCTCGTCTGCTTTTGAGGCCATGGTCAAGACAGCGTGCACCATGTCAACCAGGAACGGCATCATCTCCAGGCCTTGCGCAGGCACCCTGCCTACTTCAGAATGCTGGAAACTCACAACGTCTCACAACTGAAGGAGTACTGGGGGGGCGACTGGTATGCTGAACAACTGCCGTGAGCAGAAGCGGAAGGGAGTGATGGCTGCAAGAGGCTCCGGAAACCGGCGGGCCAAATCTCAGCTGGAAGCACATGTCCCCCGCCAAGTAGTCCGCGTATCCAGCCAAAAGCGTGCTAACCTGCGACTAGAAGGACAGCTGACCCGAACCAAACGTGCAAGCAGAACTCAAATAAACAATGCGCAAAGATCTTGGACAACGGTTCTGTCCTCTTGCCAAAAAGCTTTGCCGTCAGATGCCTCAAGAGAACCTTCGTCTGCCAGCAGCCGGCAAAGCAATGTTAAAGTGCCTGGGGCAGGCAGTGATCGCAACACCCAACACACTTCCAGTCTGTTCCTACTGCTGCCCAAGCGACTGTGGCTAGCCATGGAGATCACAAAGGATCCATGGCCCAGGTCTTCCAAGAGCGGCTTCAGCAGGCGCCTGACCTGCGCACTTAAGACTTAAGATTTCTCTGAGTTGGACCTCGAAACGTCAAAAGCCGCCAGATTTCTCAAATGTGGTCCTGCCCATGAATTGGCTGGCCAGACGCAGTCATGGCCCGCAGAGCAGCGGCAATCAAGGCATGCGCGCAGAGTACTTGCAGCCTTGAGTTGCGACGCGGAAGCCCACAGTGCAAAAGAAAGATTCGGAAGGCTCTAAAGACATGATGTGCTGGTCGAGGCACCTTGAGCCCGGGCAAGTGTCCCCAGGGCTTCTCCCTGCGAGCCCAAGACACAAACTCTGCAAGGCCAACCACGACGGAATTGGAGACGGGGTGCCTGCTTTGCCAATGCCACAAGCGCCAGGGGTGCAAGCATCAAGGAATGCCATCAGAGCAAACATCGCTGCAACGCGTCGCTGCTTAGAAGCACTGCCCAAGAACCCTGAAGTTGTACTTGCATGTGATGGGAATAATGGAAAAGGCTCTTCCAACGTCTGCAGCTCCAGATGCCAGCTGCACTGTGCATCTTCGAAAACGGACGTCATTGCAGACTCAATGCCGGTAACCCTGCCGAGTCGGCCCAGAACCGTCTTGACCTGTCTGGCCAGACCTACGTCGCCTCCTGCCAACTTCAAAGCTCGCAGGAGCCAAGTCTGCACCTCATGGCCGTCCGTTAATAAGCCATGCAGTTCTCCGGCTTCAAGCCCCGCGCTTTCTTCTGCCTGTGCCATGTCCTGTAGATCATACGGAAAAAGCGTGACCAAACGCTCCGCATGGCTTATGGAGCTGCCCGGCACTGAAGTCAGAGGCCGCTCGTCTCGAAGCAAGTTCTGCAAGCCAGAAGTCTCCAGGCTTAAAGCCTGCAGCACCGGCTCCAACACTTCACACGCACGCGTCGCCGGAACTGCTTGCCAAGACATTTGCTCACCAGCACCCTCGACAAAAGCAAGCAGGCCATCCAAGCGCGCAAGACGCTTCGGCACGTGTCTCGCACCCTCCATTTTTGAAGATACCGAACCCAGATCTCCAGTAAGTCTGACCAGCCATTCAACAATGCGACCCCGGACTTTCACAGCCTCCCCGGCAGACTTGTCAACAAGCAGGTCGCGCATAAATCCAGTGGCTGCCTGCCTTGCCTCTTCTGAATCATCCGAAAGGCCGGCCAGCACAACTTCGAAGCAAGCTTCGACAGCACGGCCCGTGACAGTTCTGTCACAATGCTTTAGTATGGTGACGCACAGGCCGATGAAAGCCAGTCGGACTGCTGCCTTCTCCGCCCATAAAGTTTCTGTGGCGACTTCTGCCTGGTGCAAAACAGCAATCAATGCCTCTGAACTCTGACGGCTGGTCTCTTCCAGCCAAGCCGAGTCTCGGCTCAGCTTGGGCGGAATCCGATGTCCTGTCCTTGGCCCATGTGTCCCATTCCGGTAAGCATCATGGGGAACCTGCCCCTCCTTGCAAGCTGTTGCCGTCTCAGGGCCTCTCTCTCCGTCAGGATCGTTGTGCTGCCGAAAGATCTCCGCGAGAGTCAGTGGTGGCCGGCTTTCCGCCGCAAGAAGCTCGGAATTCCTAGCGTTTCCCAGAACGACACGCAGCCAGGCACCTAAACAGCTGCAGCCGACAATGACAATCTTAAATCCTACTTTAAACTCCTTTCCGGCCTGGAGCAGCAACTTCACAAGGGCCGTGCAAACCCCAGGGTAAAAATTCAGCAGTAAGTCTGATGTGGCTTCTGTGTCGGCCATTGACTGCAACACCAGCACACTTGAGATTACTTGATCACGAGTGGGCCGGCCCTTCGAGAAAACTCCAACGCTGAGAAGTTGCACCGCCAAATGTGCCAAATATCCAAGTTGAATCCGGGGTAGCTCACTGTCACCCCTTGAGACATACCACCTGCAGATAAGGACGCGAGATGCCTGCAGCACTTGTAAGAGTATGTCCTCCAGTTGAGCGACCATCCTTGCGGACGTTCCGGGCATTTCTCCCAGGAGCTCATCAAGCAAGGCCAAGAGCCTTTCACAAACCAAAGGGAAAACACGTTCCAGCCGGTCTGCTGCGAGCAGGTCAGGCTCACCACTTTCCAGCAATACCAGCAGCAGTTTCAGCGTGTCTTCCAGCAAGCCGAAGGCACCCAAAGGGCGCTCGGAGAGCCTCGCGAGTACAGGGGCCAGTATGTGGTCAAACCGAGAAGGATCTGATCGCAAGGATTTGGAAGTCAGGGCCAGCAACGCATTGCAGGCATCTCTGGCCACGGCCGGGTCTGGGTCGCACATGTGCACGCATGCGCTCTCCATGGTTCTGTCCATGCAGCCGGTGCTACGTTCCGCAAAATTTGGACCAACTCTGGGATCAGACAGAGCCACGCACCGCAATGCATGCAACGTCAGTTGCAAAACATCGGCTAGCTACGGCTTCTAGTAGTTCATGTGGGTTCGTTCGATTCGATGGTTGGTTGTGGGAAATGGGTTGGAAACGGTGCCTAGAGGCCAAAACTTCGCAGTACGCAATCAGCAGAGACCTTAGCAACCAGCAGTGGTCTGCCTGCCCGGCTCCTCTGCCGCCATAACCTGCCAGATGCCCACAAATCCGAGACCTCAGCTTGCGATAGGCATCGGACATTCGCTGCGCAACTGTTGCACACACACATTCTGCCCATCTGACATGTCCAACATCTGGGCACAGCAGCGCTCTGGCTCACCCACCGAATCCCCTCCCCCCAAGATCTAAAGCATGGCAAGCAAAAGGCTGGACTAAGGCAATCTGAGTGAGAGACTGGCTGCACCGATGCTTTGGTACCTCGAATTTGCGGTGCAGGCGATGCTCGCCTTTGAATTCTCAACCCCTGGAGTGAACTTCGGGCTCCCACGCCAGACGCCACCCAAACGTTCCTGCCAAACTGTTCGCCTAAGCTGAGCCAGTATGGCAGGTGACACTATGTGGAACTTCTGGGATGCCAGCAGCAGGAATGACCAGCAGAGCTCCTGTAGCAGGGGTCCCCGTGAACCCTCAAACCTCAGCTATTGTGCACCATCTGCTGATGCGCATGCATCATAATCAGGCCATGCTTTGGACCCTAAACGCTGCTCGTATGGCAGCTCCCTACTATACAAGAGCAAGCATCTTGCTTACTCGAGAAGCTCTGGATCGACATGCAAAGCTTGTTTCAGCTTCGCAAAATCGGCTGATTCAGCGCCGATTGTGCCATTCACGTCATATCGAGCGTCGTGGGCATCAGTGGCAGCCTGCTCTTGGAGATACCTCGCTCTGTACACAGAGGGCTTGCAGGGCGCTGGAGGAAGAACAGCCTTGCGACTCGTCAGCGTCTTGGCAACATTGGGAAAGGGGACCATTGGGGGAGGTTCGGGAAGCGGCGCCAATCGATCACTGGCACCCATGTAGCGCCGAGCGAAGCCTATAAAGGCTTCGGCTTCATCCATGGGTGCCTTTTCCGCCACCTTGATATTCAAGACCTCGTAAATCGAGGCAGCAATCGGTGGAGGAGCGGAGCGAACATAGCGCAGAGCCCTGTAGTGTCGAGTGGTAGCTTCCAAGCTCTCCAAGAATTGCTCCAGACTGCTCAAGCAATACTCCAGCAGGCGACGCAGTCGCACAACTCCTTGAAGCAGGAGCTCACACTTTCTCTCCACGATATCGGCACGAAGATGCAGACCTTCGCTCCACACAGCCAGAAATGTCCAGTCCTGAAGCGATACAAATGAAAGGCGAGGTGTAACTTGAGCTTCTCCGTTGCAGGACCTACCCCGTCCTTGTCTTGAATGTCGTCAAGCCTGAGACGATTGCAGTCTGATGCCAACAGATCAAACAGGTGGCCCATCGCTCTCACATGCCACAAGACGTCCACACCATTGAGTCAAGGCTCATGCTCACTAGGCCTTTCACTAGGAAGTCAAAGGTCACACTGCCTTTACCATCCTTGTCAAAGAGTCGCATCAAGCCTGGCAAAAGCACAAATCAGCTTCACAAGTTAACAAGCCAGATAAAAGTAGCAGCTTTAGTAGCAGCAGCCAAGCATGACAAGGCAGACTCTCGGCGTCGAGGACAGGAACTTCTAGCTCCACCAGGGTACTTCGGAAATCCTGCGCCAAAAGGACAACAGTTGTTGGGAGGACCCCCCAAACAGCACAAGCCCTCATGGACAGTCTCCACCGGCGGGATCACGCAGGTCTGCCGCACAACTGCTAATTCTTGCTGCTGCTAGTTTACGGATGTTCCCGCGCAGCTTCTCGATCTCGACCTGGCCCTTGCGCCGGACGTCGCCACACGCAGCGCCGTCTTCGTCTTTTCCCTTCCGTCTGCTCCACAGTTTTTGTTTCCATTCGCTTGGGCCTGTTCTCTATGTTCTCTGCTTGGATGCTGCAAGGATGGATCTGCGTTTCACGAATCCTCACCTCCATGGCCCTTTGCCTTCTTTCGCGTCCGCTGAGCGCTCAACAGACCCGCGTTAGGTCGCGGACCGCCCTTCGAAGTTGGGGAGGGTACGATGACAAGGTGAAAAGGACGACGCAATGCCAGTGAAGTCAGTGGACTGGGCTGCCAAATTCTTCGCGTTCGGCTCCTCAACTCCCTGTTGCGCTTCCGGGGACCAGAGTGCACACGATGTGACCGGATTGCAATTACAACCATACCAAGATGCACAGCTCGCTCTCCCAACCGTCCTCGTTCTGCAGGGCCACCTCTATCTCGCGCTCCTCGAGCTGACCATCTCCGTCCTGAGTGCACAGGCTGCGAGGCCACCAGGCAAGGATGAACGGACTCCCAGGCCTCATCCATAATCCGAAGCAATGTGCGTGCCCGCATTCCCATCACTTGCCGGTTTTCACGTTCCACCTGCACATGAACTGTTGGGCAGTGTCCCTAGCATTCAAGAACATGGTTCAGTTCACCGAGGGGGGGGGCCTCGCGAGTTGATGACTCAAGGATCCTGGAGGTCTCAAGCGCATCCTGCGAACACAGAGACTCAGAGCTGAACACGTCTGCTTTTGTAACTTTAGCACATTCGTGACCTGCATGGCAGAGCAAAATAACCTGAGCATCCCATCCTGCACGATGTTGGCGACAACCTTGATATCCAAGGTCTCTTCAGAAAACAGACTAGTAGTTCTGCTAGTGCGAGCACGCCACGATCACTACCGGCAACATCTTGCAGCAAAAGGCACGGAAGAGAGCAGGCCATAAGTTGTGATCAACAAGAAGAATCCGAGAAAGCCAGCTACGGGCGGATACCTTCCGATCCCAAATGTCAGAACGTCATGCGCACATGCTGGCTGCAGCAACACTGCCACTGCCGAGAGGCCGAAAGACAATGGGTCGTGCGACGTGGTTGGCCCACTGTGAATTGGTGATCACCTTCCAAACTTGGGAGACATCCGAGGTGAGTGCCTAGCAACTTGCACAAAGGACCTGCCTGCATCAGCGTAAGGAAGGTCCGCGGCACAGATCCGAAATACTGCCGATTGTCAAACGCCTCAAACGCCACATACTCCTGGCCAAGCACCATGCAAGGCTTCCCTGTGCCATGAACCGCCGAGGGGGGTGGGGGATAAATTGTTTACTCCAGAAACCCGCACGCACCAGGGGGCCGCTGCGGCGGCAGGAAATGACCTGGCTACAAATATCCTGGCAGTCCGAAGTTGGCTCTTCCGACTGGATGTGGTTCGGCTTGCTCGACTCTCGTCCTTCTGCGACTTTCCGGCCTTACGTTGGTTGAGCCCTGGATGGCGAGCGTCAGGCTCCTCGGAGTCGAGCCAGTTTTGGCTTCGGCCTCCGGCCTCTTCTTCTTGGCCTCTCCCTCGGAGTGCTTAGACAAACAGGACACGATCCTGAAGAAGACGGGCAAAGGAATGGCAAAGGACAAGATCCTGAAAAAGAGCAGAGAGCTACGTAATTGCTTGCTCGAAGAAAGTGTGGGATGCATCTTCCGTATTTCCCCTCCCTGGCTGGCTGTCTGCATGGCATAGAAAGCCCCCAACTGCCTTCACAGCTGCTTCTGAAGGAGGTTTGCACTGCAAAAGGGCTGTACATCCTCTTCGCAGGCTTGTTTTATGGCATCGTGTCGTGACATCTTCGTTGCGGAAGTGTTGCAGAGATGGACGGCATTCCAATCATAGACCCCCACAGGGACGGCTTTGGCACATGTTTTCCTCCGGAACTTCTTGCGAGACCCTTCATCCCCAAGGATGTAGGGATTCGCTGGGGCTTGCTAAGACCGAGGACAGGGATTTCCGCGGGAAACTGCAGGTCACTAGGGCCTGTCATGGCTTCGACACAAGCCCAGAGGTCCTGCCAAGGATCGAAAGTATCGTTCCAAACGGCCGAGTCACCTATGACATAGTGCCTGGCAACTTCAGAAGAGGAGACTTGGGACATTTGCTCGCACACGTACTGTAGGTACACAGGCCAGCCGGACGCACAGGCTGCCGTGCTCCAAATGAAGACACACAAGAAGAGAATGACCCAACCTGACACATCTGGGACCCGTGCTGAGACAACTAACCATGGGAGCCAACAAGATAGAGCCGGCACATTACAATGCGAACAAGTGATCTTACAAGACTCCGCAAACGATCTGTGCTTAAAGGATTCTCAAGTCCGGGCCTGGCGGTCTACCCTCAGACCTGCAATAACCTCCAATAAGCCTTCTGCAAAACGCATGACAGCAATGGGGTCAGGAGAGGGATGTCGGCAATTTACGCTTGCCCACATTTGAGTGGGTGTTAGCTAAGGCTTGCCCGTCCGATCTTCCCAGCTTTCCCTTTGCGTGAATACGGAGCTAAGAATGACTGGATCAAAAGCAGCTTCAACTTTTCATGAAGACGGACACATCATCTGCAAGAACAAAGGGGGAACACGCTCTGTTGCGATTCCACATTTGAGCTCAAGTTCCACATTGGAGCTCAAGCTTGCAAATTAATGCCTCCGGGCTGCCCAATGTCTTCATTGTCCGAGTCGAGTTCGAGATGAACGCAAGCAGTTGTGGAGAAGCCTTCATGGTTCGCGCAGCACGGGCCAGCCTCGAACAGAGCAGAGCTTTGCAGACATAGAGTTTGTTTGTAGTTGCTCGCGTTCTCCCTTTCGTTCAAAACCCCTGGGGCCTCAAGAGCCGCAGCAAGCGAAAGGCCGGCAGCGATCTGACGGGCGGGCCCCGGGGGTCGGCTTTTTTGCCAAGGCTTTTGAATCAAAGCTTCCGCAGCCCTTTCTATGGTACTGGGGTGTTCGAGACCTGGTTTAAGACCTTGAAGAAAGGGGAGAATAGAAACCTCCAAGCTGGGTTCTTTATCTTGGGAATCGGGCCCCGAGCTCCTTAGTGTGCTGAGCGTGCTTAGTGTACTTCGTGCGCTTAGAGTGCGTAGTGTGCCTGGTGTGCTTGAAGCTAAGGTCATCGGCACTGCAGCAGGATGCAGCTTGGATACCCATCTCCTCAGCATTGGTCCCAGTTCACGGCCTTATCGGGCCTTTGCCCCAAATTAGAAGCCTGCAGACTCATAATTTGAAAGGGCCCCGGACGAAAGCGAGCATTCCTGCCCGGGGTTTCTGGATGATTCTGAGTTGAGTGTCCAGAACATTTGAGAGTGGGGGAGAGGGCCCCCCCCCCCTCTCACGGCATCTCCGACTTATCGGGCCTTAGGGGATGCAACAGGGCCCTCAGCTTCCTCTCTTCCGGACCTTGCTGCGCACGATCTTAGATAAAACCATATAAAACCATGGTTGGACCGGTTTGGCTGAACTGGAAGGCCTCGCCAGGTTACCAGTGAAGGCAAACTCCTCCACGAAAACCATCAAAACGAGGATCAAGTCCTGCGGCTGCCCGGCAATATGTTTGAGGCACTCTTGCGCACCTTTACAGTAAACAGCGGGAGGGTGCTCCCGCCCCCCGCCCGGCATTAGCAACACGCAACGCTTTTTTCACAAGGGACTCGACTGCTGCCCAACACACAACGCTTAAAGGCTTTTAAAAGAAACGTGTGGAGATTTGGGTCTTGCGAATCGCAACCCTCTTGATGGCATCATGCCCTTTGAAGCAGAGATTGCGCAGCTTCAAGAGCAGGGGAGGTGCAGGCAGGTGCATCCGTCAGCATGCCTCGCCAGACGTCTGTTGAGTGGGCGCAGAGATTTGTCGTGTTGTGAAAATGTTTTTCCTTGGGGCTCCTTCTTTCGCTTTCGTGCCTCCGAGTATGCCTATTCCCCACAAGCAACAGACTTCTTCTCAACTACTCCCCCCCTCTTTCCCCTCCATCCCTCCCAACCCACTGCAAAACAGCAATGAGCCCAAGAAGCACACTCGACCTATCCCATGTAGGCTGGCATGTCATGTCTGATAGAGTGGGCAAAGATCAAAGATGAGCCATGTCCAGCACGGTAAGCGCATCTTGGAAGATCCCGAAGCGGTACGTCATAAACCTCTCACATGTTGGCAGAGCTCTTGTGTTAGCTTTGCGGGGCTCTTTTGCAGCCGAAATTATTAGAATAGGTGAATAGGGGTTGGGGGGGGGCTTATTGTAGTATATTCATGAAGGGACCATGGGACCATATATATGGGAAGATTGTTTGTACCTTCTCTCTTTGCTTTCTTCTTTTTTGCCTCAGGCCAAGCTCCGCCAGGTAGAGGATGAGGAACGAGTTGTTGGCAGCCTTTTGACAGAGACTTTGCCACATCTATGGGTGGAGAGCGGGGGCGCTTTCAGGATGCTCCGGAGACTGAAACCCCCCCCATAATGCGCAGCTTGGGGGCGATGAAGAAAATTGGAAGCGTAGATGAAAGATCGACCTCAAGACCTTGAGCAGGTTTCTGGGCGCCATTCGTCTGCAGAAACACACAAGGCTGCTCTGCAGCCCAGAAACCGATGCACACTGCATTCACCACGACCTGAGGACAGAAACACTTCCAGAAAAGAGCTTGAAAGCTGCATGCAGGATCAGAACAGCAAAGTGAAGCAAAAATGGCCAAGGAGCTACAAGCCCCATGAACAAAACAAACCATGTTCTTTCCACAAGAGGTACCTCGGACGTGGCAATGTCTCGCCGTCTTGCTGTCTTGCTGTATTACAAGCATAAGTCGTCAGAAGTGCGTCGAAGGGCTTGAGGAACACTTTCTAGATCCTTGAGATGCATCGTCTGTGTAGCCTGCGCCTTACTTCTTCTTTCAGCAGCTGGAATTGCCATGTTCAGCAACCCAAAGCAGCCTCCAAAAAGCAGCCCCCCAAAGCAGTCCAAACCTATGTCTTGCCAGAGCGCTTCCAGGAGGTCAACAGCTGAAGAAGATTTTCCAAACCCCAGCTTCCGGACATCTTGATTGTCTTGACTCTTCAACTCGTCGTCGCGGTCCTCGTCCTCTCGGTCGCCTGGCGCCTCCTCCTCCGCCTCCCTTTCATCCTCCAGCTCGAAGATCCCATCATACAGGCTGTTCCCGGTCCCCTGCCGCCGCAGTTCGACCTGTCCGACAAATACCAGACTTCAAGTCTTCAAGTCATGCATTGTTGGGACATGCCGGCAAGAAGCTCGTGGCTTCGAATCTCCATTCCTGAGTGAATCTGGCAAAGCTGTGGAGGGCATTGGAGGGCATTGGAGGGCAATGAAATGACATCAACCGGCCGAGAAACCATTGGAAGCTTTCTACCGATGATGTCCTCGGCTAAAGCGGTGCTACCACCAAAAGCGTCGCAGCGATGTGCCGCGGGCATCAACACACTGTGCGCACTCTTGCCAAGGCGCGGATCAACCTGAACCCAACCTGGGGGCACCAGGGCCATCCTAATCCATGTGTCATGGAGCCAATGGCTGCGGCAAAGCCACTTTGAAGCCTAAGCCTCATATTCGGCACTGCAAAACTGCAAAGCTTCAAGTGTCTGCCCAAAACAAAACTTGTTCCGCTTGGCTGCCATCGACCTCACGTCCAGGACAGCACCGCGGTCACCGCGGTGAAATGCTGGTGCAACACCGTGCATTGTACTAGCAAGGAGCTGCCAGCTGCCAGTAGCCTGTACAAAGCTACTAACAGCGACTTGTGGTGAGTCTTCAGCTGGCGACTGCGCTTCTGTGGGTCGCACTGCTTGAAGATAATCTCATCTGATTTTGATTTCAGCTATAGCTATGGCACTCAACGGCTCAAGGAGAAGATGAGGCGCTACTGCACAGCCCGCAGGGTTTCACTGCCTGACATACCAAGATTGCACTAACGAACGAAGAATAGAGGCATCTGTCTTGTGGATGTCTGGCAATATTGACGAAATCATAACGTAACACAACATTAAGGAGCCCCAACATAAGATGACTGGCACGACATAACAGAAAACAGCACAATAACAGAGGTTTGTCCCCCCCCCTGCCTGGCTCCTGTTCCTCAACATGTTGCGGCTCAGCTTTCGGCTCAGCTTGCGGCTCAGCTTGCGGCTCAGCTTGCGTCTCAGCTTGCGTCTCGCCGGATCTCTGCGAGAGGCTAGCAACCACCAACCGTGCAGCCCTTAAGGGCACAAGGGTGCTGGCCACTGTCAGCCCAGCGACAGTTGAAGCCACTGCAGGAATCACATCCCTTCCCAGACGAGGCTGGGAAGCGGAAGTTTCTGAGGAGTCTACATCGCCTGTGAAGTAGCCGAAAGCCGTCTGGATCTCTTGGCGTCCAATCTGAAAGTCTTGAAGAACCTGCTGCTTGAAATGCAGCACATCGTTACCGGCACCCTCCTCCGCAGGCACGGCTGGTGGTGACACGACCGGTTCTTCTGGAACCGGTATCTTGGCTGCAGCAGCCACGCTGCGTGCAGCAAGCCTCGTTCCATGCAGCGGGATCAACCTTGCAGATGCGCAAACGCCGGCTGTGAATCCGGCGACTTTCCCGCACACATTTAAGGCAGGGTGCTGCTCACTGCTGGATTTGAATGCGTCTTGCATGTCCTGGTAGTTCAGCTGGAAATCGCTAACTACTTGCTCTTTGAAGCAAGACCAACCAGAAGCAAATGTGCTTTCAGATCGGGTGCCCGCAAGGTCCACAGGCTCAGAGGCTTGCGCTTGGAGCAGCGGCTCTGCGTTCGTTGCTTGCTCTGGTTCCAGGCTCAGCCGCAAGAGTCCATGCCGAGAAGCCAGGCACAAGGCATCTGGGAGGTTGCCTGGTGTCAGGGCCACCATGGTGCCCTCTCCATCCTGGTACCGAAGGATGTGTGCCTCCGACAACTCGAAAAGGCTGAGTGCGGCATCCACTAGGCCCTGGAACGTGGGCTCATCCTCCCCTGGCCAATCCCTCAGCCGGCGCACCTCTTCTCGATAGCAAACCTTTAATGTCAGCTTGCTTTCATCCACCGTGCTCGACGCCATGCTCGAAGCCAAGCTAAACGCGCTCACGTGCTGAACACAGGAACTTGATACTTCAAAAGGCTCGCTTTGGAGACCATCACCAAGGCAAGTCACAACTGTGAGGCAAGTGCGGTCAGTATGCGTGGTTCAACCACGCCTAAGGAAGTTCCAATGTCCAGCATGCCGGTACCCCAAGCCTGTCAACAAGCTTCCGAATCCGACGAGCAAGAGTTGCAGAAAGCTGGGGCCTTCTCGTCACTTCCACCTGGTGCAGCTTTAGGCATCCACCTGATGCGTAGCGATCCAGGGTTGCACCAGGCCGCACACGCACAGTAGTCGACAGCAGCACAGCCCCGCACTTGCTGAGGTAAACTGTGCTTGTGGGGAAAAGCGGGCCCTGGCAACAATCGCAAGGAACAGCACAATGGATTGCCACACTCTGCTGCGCACATGATTCGGCCCACAGCCTGCACGGCACCCATTACAGCCATCACGCCCCACAAGCCTGACCTGCCAAAGGCCACAATGCGATCCCAACAATCCCAAAGGCTCACGGCTCACACATATGAGCAGAAAGGCGCACAAGCCCAGGGAATCCACAACCACAGGAAGTAATAAACCTCAGCTCAGACCAAACATAACATGCTCAACAGCAATGCGAAAACATCGGACAGAGCTGCGCACAGCATAAAGCGCTCAGGGTTAGAGCTGCCGTCATCACCTGCTCGATGTGAAAAAAAATCGCTCGACTCCCGCCACATCCACGAGACATGTTGGCCGATAAGCCATCGACATTTTTCGCACCAAGCCAATCAGCTAAAACGCCGCCTGGGACCTCGAACTCAAAAGCGTTTCATGCTCGAGACCGTCAGCAAGCCTCCGGCTGCCTGGGTAAAGAAGTATCCTGCGGCGATGGCCGACAACCTGATAACAACACATGCTTGCCAACAGTACCACCACGCCAAAGACCGCAAGCACAAAACTCAGATGATGACAGATTTCCTTTTTGAGACGTTGTAAGGTCTAGTTCTGCAGCCATAAACACCAGCAGCGGAGACAAAGCATTGCCTGGTTGCGTGTTGACAAAGAATGCCCACATACACTTTGTCTCAACATAAATAATGCATCAAGCTGGGAGCATTGCGCATGGACTGTTGCACAAGTCGCGTGCCCAACCTATCAACTACACATTTCCCGGAGACAAGATAGCAATGGCACAACACTAGGCAAAGGCCCCAACAGTAGAATCCCTTGCACGGTGCGGGTCAAGACCTTGGCCACTTGACACACTCAACATAAATTTCCACGGACACCATGAAAGCTTTTAGGTGTCCGGCGACCTTGTGGAGCAAGCTGCCAGCCTGCGCCACCACCTCCTTACATGGCACGTGCAAAATTCACTTGGAGGCACAGCGTCCATCTTTTTAGAGTTTCGAGCCGTGTTGTTTGCAGCTGGCGGCCTGCAGTGCAGTCAGCGTGGCGACACTTGCAGGGTGACATATTGATTCGAGTGGCTTGGGAGCTGATGGTACACGTGGGCTTGGTGATGAAGCACGATGCCGGACGGTCGGCCCCTTTGGTGGTTCTTCCACCATGGCCTGCTACACACTGCAACTTCCAAGCTCCAAACCCAAATTCTCGCGCTACCAGCTACTGGCCTGTTGACGCGCACACGCGAAAGGTGCCACTCAACTTGGCCGGACCGCTGGCAGAAGTACTTGGGGAAATGTTTTCGTCAAAGTGTGGTTACGACGCGCGGCGCGCATGTTGCCCTTACTTTCGAGACTTGCTTGGGAGCTGCAGTTGCCAACGTTGCTCTTCGGAGTTGGTTGCATGGCAGAACAATGTAGAACATACTGGTAAGCGTGTGGGGGCTGCGTTGCCAATGGCTGAACCAGAGAAGCATGAGGAACAGCACAATCAACCATACCTCCCCGCCGCCAACGAGACGTTTCTACATCTGTTGGTTACATGTCTTTTGGGGCAGCTTAAGCTCATGTACAGTACGGTACAGGGGCCGCGGATGGGCAAAAACGAGGCCGCCTTTTGTGTTTCCACTCGAGTCTGCTTCGTTCATGTTTTCCCGTTCGTTCCCGGAGATTGTAGGAGGACAAGGATGAAATCGGCCGACTCCGTTGGGCCATAGGTACGCCTCTCAGCGTGGGCACTCGACAGCATGAATTACCGATTTTTCAGGGAAGTGCGGGTGTCGTACGATGTGACCCAGTAGCTTCAAACATTGTGGGAGTTACTCTGAAAGGGCAGGATGACCCGCCCGGTTTTATTCGCAAGGTTACGAAGGTACTGGTTAGAGCCAAGGCAGTATTTTTTTTTCCCGCACCTTTTTCAACCCGCATCGTCATGTCCGTCGGCCTTGTTCACGGCCTCTCCAGGAGCAGGTCCCCCAAGGGGACCTCCGCCCCATCACCTGCATCCCGTGGGTGGACTGGCAGCTCGAGGAGAGTCTGCGCGTGGGCCCGCATGGCTGCGAGCGCTGCCAGGGCCGTCCAACGACGCGTCAAGGCCCGAGCAGTGGCGACCTGCGCCCAAGGGGCCCGCGTTCGGCCGCGGACCCGCGCGAGGCGGCGGAGGAACGCAAGCGTGCTCGTGCTGAAGCGACCCCCTACCTCAAGGCCGAAGACGACGAGGCGACATCGGCCCCGCCCCCCCAGCTGCAGTTCAGGGTACGTGCGTTGCTTACGCCGGGCAGCCTGTTCCAGCGCGAGCCCTGGCCGCGCGTCTGCGCCGGGCCTCGCCTGCCCGTCGCGTCGGACAGGGCTGACCAACGTGGTGTCCACCGCAATCTGCGCCCCCTGCCACAGAGGCAGGCCGTTGGCCACCACCTCGATCCTCCGGCCATCCGTCGCCGGCGCGTCGAGGTTGAGGTCCCGAAGGGCGACGCTGGTGGCCACCCGTGCTCCGGCCTCACGGCAAATGCGCGCCGCAGCCCGTTCAAGGGGCCCCGCTCTCTGCGCGAGCACCCCGACCTGAGCACACGCAGATCTGTGGTCCCCGAGTTCATCAAGGGCCCCCCCGCAGCGGCAGCGGCGAGGGGCGAGTGGCAACGCCAGGCGCAACCGCCTCAGGGGAAAAATTCGGAACTCCCCATTGTCGACCACGAAGTCTGGGCCGCTCGGGACGACGGTGAACGCGCAGCTCGCACCTTCGCCGCTCTGGGACAGCAGCAGCGCTCGGGATGCAGGATCCAAGTCAGAGAAAAGCATCTCGAACGCGCGCTTGTCCACAGCAGCTCCGGCTCCTTGCTGCCAGCCCCGCCTCGTTGGGGCAGGGGGCCCGTCGTCGTCTCCGAGGTTTGGAGGGGCCATTTCCTCCAGCGCTGCCCACGTGGGCGCCTCGTACCCTTGCAGGCGCAGGGTTTGCGCAGCCTGGTCGGCCTCCCTGACACTGGGGGGCACACCGGTTGCCGCAACACTCAACAGGGGCCGCATTAGTGTGGCCAATGTGCCTGGATGGCACTCTTGCAGCGCGGTGCTCGACCGTGTCTGCCCATGAGGCCCAATATGCTGCATGCCTGTGCTCCCTGGCAGGCGACAAGCCCAAGCCCCCCATGCGAAGCGGCAGGCGAGCACGCCTCGCACTATTGGGAGGGAGCTCCAACGGCACATCCCCCCCAGACAACAAGGTCGCCAGGCAGCGCAGGATGGCCTCATCGTGCGACGCCGCGTACGCCTCCGTTGCGCTCGGCGGCACCGTGCGCAGCAAATAGTTGCACCGTGGCGCCGCACAGAACAACAGCAGAAGCCACGCGCTCTGGAGGTCCTGCACTGTCGGCAGCCGCGCGAGAAGGACGTCGTGCTGGCCTCGCTTGTCTTCTAGAAAGCGCGCGACGTACTCTCTACTACCTATGGGAGTCCCCAGCACTACAAGGCCCTGCTCCTCAGGCGGCAAGGTCCAGCTCCCGGTCCAACAGGGTGGGTCGCCCGCGCGGCGGGGCAGCGCAGCCACCAAGCCTGGAGGCTCCTCGCCAGCGGCGTTCCATGCCCTGGTCTTACCGAGATGGACCTGGACGTTGGCGTGCTGGGACAGCGCCTCTTGGGCAGACCGCAGCGCGGGGAGCGTCCTCTCCGGAGTGGACGTGACGTAGATGTCATCCAGGAAGGCAAAGAGTCGCTCGTCCTGCCGCAACCGGGAGTGAAGGTGGAGAAGGGCAGCATGTTGGCCGAGCGCGTATAACCCCGGCATCAGCGGATCGCCTTGTTCCCCTCCCTCTCCCTGCAGCACCTCGTGCCCCTCCCCCCGCCCATCATAGTAGATGTAGCGGCTGGGCTGGCCATAGAACAAGTGCGCGAACGGGAGCAGGCCGGCCAGCGGGGCGTGGGAGCTCAGCGCCCGCAGCATACTGGCACGGGAGATGTGGTCGTACGCGCCCACGCCATCTATGCTCAGCACCGTTGTTCGAGGGTCGGCTTCCGTTGCGGCCCGCAACGCACGGGCCAGCGCTTCTGCGCCGGCGCGCGTGCCAAGTGCGAACTGGAATGGCGCGCACGCCTGCCGAAACTGTTCCCCGAACTGCTGCGCCAGCGTGCGTGCCACGAGCCGGCGAAACACATCCCCCATCACCAATGCCCTGACTCCGCCCGTTGGCTTGGTCAGCGCGACCATCCGACCTATCCTCAGCGCACATGCGATCTCTCCCGGCACGTCAGCTACTGCGAGTCTGCCTGCTACGCGGCCGAGAAGCTCGGTGCCGAGCTCCTCGTCCAGCATGACCCGCAGATGCTCATTTGTACAGCCCGACGGCCCAGCCGCTGCACCCCGTCGGGCTCGGCGGAGGTTGTCCAGCAGCCGCCGTCGGCAAAGTTCGATGACGGGCGAGGAACGCGTGTCCAAAGGCGGTTCGAGGGGGACCTGAACGGTGGGAGGGCGTCTGTCCGGGGGTCGCGCAGCTCCGCCAGCGTTTCGGCAGTGGCGGGTGCCAAGGGGGAAGCGGTCAAGGCCTGGGCAGCGGCCGAGAGCTCGCCCATATGGGCGAGGGCTGCAGCTCTCTCCGCCCGTCGTCGGACGTCATCATCCGACCCGTCAGCCGGCCGGCTACGCGCGGGAGCTGTAGTCACTACCGCGGATTCCCGAGCTGCGGCCACACACTCGTGGAGCAACTGAGCCCATCTGCCCTCACAGAACAGGCGCTCCCGGCGCGCCAACTCATCACGAGGGACCCGGGACGCCCCGGGCGCCCTGAAGAGCAGCATCCGCGGCGCCAGGACAAACAGCTTCCAGCCATCCAGTTCCGTGTCCGTACCTGGGGCGTTCAAGATCGCCTCAAGAGCGATGCGCACGGCGTTTCTCAGGAGTCCACGCATTTGTCGTGGCGGGGTTTGGAACGTGTAGACCCGCAGTATTTGGTGACGAAAAAAGGACTTAATCTTGAGGATGCGCCTTGGGGTTTTATCGTGTATAGAATCTGGGTGCATAAGTTGGGAGGGAGAAGGGAGCATGGGATTGTATGACAGTTCGATACACGTCAAGTTTCCGAGAAGATGGGGGAGCATTGTGCTGTCAAGGGCCTCAACAACTTAATGGCTGTGACAATCGCCATTTCTGGCTCAAGCCATTTTGGCCCCAGCCATTTTTTGGCTTCAGAATAAACACAACGCATTTGTTGTAATCTTGTACGAGTCTTGTATGCCAGAGGACGCCGCAGCGCGCACTGCTGGCGGCGCGCGCAAAGCTCGGAGCCGGACTAGGTCGCGAACAAACCACTGCGCAGCAGTGTTCCAGCGGCCTCCTATCTCGGAGCCCAGGACCAGGAGCTTCCGCGGGCTGCCCCTCGCGAGTTCGGGGTACATGCCCTTGAGGGTGAGGCCAGGCGATGCGAGCATCATCAGCATCAGCTCTGTATGCCTTCAGGGGTGGGGAGCATCATGAGCATCAGCTGGGTATGCCTTCAAGGGTGGGGCCAGGCGAGGCGAGCATCATGAGCATCAGCTGGGTATGCCTTCAAGGGTGGGGCAAGGCGAGGCGAGCATCATGAGCATCAGCTGGGTATGCCTTCAGGGGTGGGGAGCATCATGAGCATCAGCTGGGTATGCCTTCAAGGGTGGGGCCAAGCGAGGCGAGCATCATGAGTATCAGCTGGGTATGCCTTCAGGGGTGGGGAGCATCATGAGCATCAGCTGGGTATGCCTTT